CTGCCTCAGCCCCTGTAGGGCTGGGATTACAGGCATGTACCACCATGCCTGGCTTAGATGTTTACTTTTGTTGTTTTGTTTTTTGGTACCAGGGATCAAACTCACGACCATGAGTTTGTAAGGCAGGCACTTATGCTGCTGAGCTAAATCCCTGGCCCCAGACATTATACTCTTATTTAATATGTACGTCCCATAATTTTACTTTTTGTAAGAAATTTAAATATGTGCAGTCTGTCTGGTTTCACTTCCTTAAGAAATTTGTACAATTAAATTTGTTAGCTATAATTTGTGCATCTTTAAGATTCATTCAATATTCCATCAAGATTCAGAACTTAATTTCTTTGGATATATCTTATTATAAAAAAGATGGACAAACTTACTTTGGACTAGAAAAAATGCCCTCCACAGTATATTGGAACTTTAGATTTCTGCTGCTTCTAATCAGATTGAAAGAGTAGCAGGACAGGTCAAGGCTGCGAACTTCATTTACCTGTCTGGTCTACCACACTTAACAAAAAATCCCTTTCCCACTTGGGAAACAGAGGCAGTCTACTCTCAATTTACTGAACTATTAGATTTTGCAGAAAAACCTCTAAATTGCCGGTTGAATTATTCAGAAAAACTAATGGAAGCCAATGAGTTTTATTGTTTAAGAATGGTGCTCTGACTATTGGGGACCACAAAGTCACCCTGGCTAATTTTTCATACTTTCCTGAAGGAAAACCAGACAATTGGTATTATCAGTATCACCCTTTTGAGATTTCCCATTACTTCTTTAGGGGTGGGCCATCCTTTCCCACTCAAGCCTAAAACTAAAACTACTAAAATTAAAAACACTCCAGGGCAAGATTGTTCTTAGCACAAAACCCCCTCTGCCCTCGAGTTATATGATAATCCCTTCCTCAAATCCCCTCCTTGATCAATAAAGGCCAAGGTTCTGGCTGCCTCATGGTCTTTGTCTTCCTTGTCAACCACTGGTCATCCTGGATCCCCAGTGTACTGCCATTCTGTCCTTTGTTCTTTCTCTTTCACTGTGGGCCATGTAACGCCTCACAGGAGACGGAGGCTCACTGCAGGCATCCCTGATATCTGACAGTGGGAGAAGGTGAGAGGCAGGAGCTAAAATGCAAACTTATGAACTAAGGTTCAGTTTTACTTACACATTCTCCAATCTGAAGTATTCTCCCACCATTGCTATTTACGTTAGGGTTCTCAGAAAAACAGATCCAATATGGTAGATAGACAGATGAGAGAAGATGTATTAGGAGAATTGGCTCATGCAGTTATGGAGGCTAAGTCCTGTGATGAGCCATCTGAAAGGTAGACAACCAAGAAAGCTGATGGTGTAACTCTCAGTCCATGGACCAACACCTGAGCAATGGATGGGTCAGCTGTACAAGTCCTGGAGTCCAAAGACCACAGAACTTGATGTTCTAATGTTAAGGCAAGTTAAAGGGCATCCCAGCTCCACAAGATAGGGAAAATCTACCTTTTCTCTGACTTTATTTGTATTTAGAACTTCAGCCAACTTGGATGGTATCTGGTCACATAGGATGACAGTGAGTCTTCTTTTTTTTTTTGGTACCGGGGATTGAACACATGACCTCATGCTTGCCATGAAGGCACTTATACCACTGAGCTAAATCCCCAGCCCCAAACAGTGAGTCTTCTTTAGTCCACTAAATTCAATGTCATTGTCTTCTGGAAACACCCTCATAGAAATGACCAGAAATGATAATTTCCTAGCTATTTTAACTCAGCCATATTGCCATATCTAAAATTAGTCATCCCACTGAGTGACTCTAAGGGACAAAATGTTTGAATTTTCAAAAGTACATTTTTCCCCCTTACTGGAGACTGAGCCCCTGGCTTTGGCACTGAGCAACTTCCCCAACCCTTTCTCTATCTCTCTCTCTCTAACTCCCTTTTATTTATTTATTTATTTTTTGGTACTGTGAATCAAACTCAGGACCTCATGCTTGCCAGTCAGGTGCTGTGCCACTGAGCTATATCCCCCAACCTCTATCTCTATCTCTACCTATCTCTATTTTGAGACAGTATGTCACTAAGTTACTAAATTGCTCAGGCTGGCTTTGAATTTGTGATTTTCCTGCCTCAGTCTCTCAAGAGTGCTACGATTCCAGGCATGCACAACCACATCTCACTAAATGTACAGTTGATTTAAAAAATTGTTATCTACTTTTTGTATGGCAAGAACTTTAGATTACTTTTCTAGAATGAGAAAGACATCTCAAGACATTCTTAGTTCTAGGAATTAGTTGAATATCTTACTGAGTATTTACTATTTGTCATTATTAGACACTGTGTAGGTGGACAGAGAAATTGGAGGGTGCGGATAAACAAATGACAAGACCTGGCTCCTAGATACAAATAACTTACAATTTCATGGGCAAAACAGTCGCAACTATATTAGGAATATTTGATCTTGTGGAACTTCTGCTATTTGAAGCCAGTAGAGAGAATGACTTTGTTATGTTTCAAATGTTTGGACACTACTTTTAGTGTAGAGGTTCAACAGTTCTCAAGGATTCAAAGTATTGCATGGCCCACTATTGCTGAAAAAGAAAAAAGCCTGTGCTTCAAGTTAGTGTTATATAAATGTTTTTAAAAGTACTGGCTTTGGAGTAGAGCAGATCACTGGGCTTAAATCCCAGATCTTCAATTTAGTGGCTGATGTGACATCAGGCAAATTATTTAACTTTAGTATAGTCATTATTCTCATTTTTTTAATTTATAAAAGCAACATCTCATTGAGCTGATGTGTGAGTTAAATATAAGTATATGTAAAGCCATTAACTTAGTGTCTGGTACATTATAGGTGATCAACAAAGGTAACTATTATTATCATGTTCCCCCTGGGGAGGCAGAACCCATAGGGAAAAGACTTGTAAACACAGACAACATATGAATAATCTACCAGTGAATACCATGGGAAGAACTATATGTTTTAGAGTAACAAATAGCCTCTAAGAAAATGCAAAATACTTCCAAATCTTCTTGTATAGTCTCAGGTGCACGTCCAGATTATTTCCAGCTGTAGTCTAAACCCATGAATTTCTTGGAATTCAGCACTTGAGATCCAAAGGTAAACAACAGACTGGGCAAGGCCCTAGACAGAAAAGGCAGTTTTAGTGGCAAGGTCTGGTTTATACTTAAGTGATTACAAATTTCCTTTGACAGTTTGTAGTGGGAGTGGCTCTCCTGCAGAATTCCAAGGGAAATGTTCTCTGGACTGTCTTACTTGTCTTTGAGTGGACCACCTCCTAGATATTTTAATTTTAAAGGTCTCTGCCCTAAATTTTATTTTCCCCAGATGTCTGCTATCAAAAACCTTACAAAGTTTTCCACTTTGGTAATGTCTTTTGTTTCCTAGGTGAAATAAAAATATCCCTCATGTTGGCCAAAGACCTGGTGGGGTGGGTCAATCTCTACTATCCTCTTCTCTGTGTGTTATGGCTACTACCAGTTTAATCCAAACCCTGAATCTCAACTGTCTTTTGGGATCTCTTGTCTCCTGTGACTGTATCCACTTTTCAGTTTTGTTTGTAAATTTCTCTAGAACATAAAGGGTCAAAAGACTTGGTAGAACTTTTATTTAACTTGACTCTTAATGCTTTTTGTCTAGCACAAATGCTATTAAAAAGAGGTGAAAAGTAAATTATGTTTTCGGTTTTGATGACTTTTTTTTTTCTTCCCATAACTTGGGCTAGTATTGTGTTCTCCAGTATTCTTTCAAGATTATAAACTGCGGGAGTGGACTATGTGACAAGACAATCCCAGACCTCTCGGAACAACTGCAAAAGGCAACATACGCCTGTGGAAATTAAGAGGGAAAAAAAATTCCTAAGAAGTCTCAGAAACTGATCGTCAGTGGCCAGTGATTTGAGAAATAGATTAGATTTACCAAGTTTAAAAAGATTTCCAACACAAAGAATTAAATAAAATGTATACTCAATTTGTGCGAGGTGATTTCTTTTTTTTTTTTTTTTTCTTTTCTTTTTTGTGATCTTCCTGCCTCAGTCTTGCTGTGTAGGCTGGCCTTGACCTCACTATGCAGCCCAAACTGGTTTTGAATTCCACACAATCCTCCTGCATCAGCCTCTTGCGTACTGGGATTACAGGTGTGTGCTATCACACCTGTCTGTACTTTTTAGGCTTTTCAGGCCTCAAGAGTCTGGAAATGAGTTATTAACAGTAGAAAACTGCTCTTTAGGATCTTCTAAAATCAATGGAGTTTTTATCTGCTAAACTTTAACTTAGACTAACAACATCTTTCTTTCTCTCAAATTATGATTTAATTTGTTTGGTTGTTTCCATGAATTTAGCTCAGTACGTAGGGTAAAACCAGGACACTAAAGAGGACAAGTTTTTTTTTTTTCCCCCCTATTTCTACTATGAACTGATTTTGAGATGTATTCGAGGTAAATGAAAAGAATTTCTGGGAAGCAAGTTTTCAGTGAAAAAAAGTGGGGCCCAGAGGACGGAAGTGGGGCAAGATATTTCAGTCTGATCAAACTAGAAAGCAGAAGCTACTTCAGCGCTTTCTGGCTAGGGAAATAGATATGTTTGATGTGTAAGAAACTTACCTAAAATACTACTTAGGTTACCAGGACTTTAGTCAAGGCCCTTTCCAAGAATCTAAAAAGGAAACGAGGCAGGACATCAAGATTTCGATATTTCCAAGAGTTTGGAGCAAAAAAATCACATTTCAGGGTTCAGGGCATAACGAAATACGCTAAGAAGCACACTAAGAACAACTTGGCGGCAGTTAGATGATAATAAAAACATTGACAATAAAGCTTCATTGCTTTTTATTTTCAGCTAAACAAACAACACAATGAAAAGAACTACCCTCGATTGAATTTTAAAAATGACATGCAAAGCGAGTAAAGCAAGTCAACAAAAAGAACGGAAAACGGAGGCGGGCGCATTCATAGCAACTCTGACCCCACCTTCTACCAGACCCAGGGAAAGCGAGCCCAACCCGCGCGCTCTGGACCCGCCTCCTCGCAGTTTGGCTCCGCCCCACTAAGGCAGGTCCGTCAGAAGAAAACGGGGTGGGACTTCCGGCGTTTGAAAAACTTCCGGCGGGAACCGGAAGGTGGGGTAACACCCACAGAATCCCGGGTCTGCAGACACGCAGGACGCCAAGGTGAGCAGTGCGTACGCCTTGGCGGCGTCCTGCGGGCGCTTACGAGCGTGCGTCCGGGTTCCCGTATTTTTGGGGCCGTTTAAAAAGTTCGGACCGCACGTTTGGGAGATAGGACCCCTTTATAAAATAAAAGTGAAAAAGTTTCATTACATTTTTCTGTCAGCGGTCTGTGTCTCACAATGTACACTCGGAAAAATCCCTCTGGCTGCCGCGTGTCACCTGGCGCGTCTTCTACTTGAAGAAGCTCTCATGGCATAGGGACAGTTACGAGAAAGCCGGGGCAAACCTAGATTATTTTTATACCTGAAGAATCAGAGGTGGAGGTGAAAGCACCTTTTTCACTCTTCCCGATCTCGGTTCTGTGCATCAACTGCATCTTCAGCGGGGCATCTTGGAGGCGCATGAATGATTGTTGAGGAAAGGAATGAATGGAAACTCTTCGCAATTTTCCTAGAGCCTCCACGGGACAGCCGGTCTTTATGTTGTGTGTGGAATGGGAAATCAAGGCTAGTTTTGATGTTTAGGGCTCTGAGTTCTGTTTCTTTGCCATGTATCTCCTCTTTGAGTAAGTCATTTCACATCGTTGAGTTTCAAGCCTCTCCTAAAAGAACACAACAGGGCTGTCTGATCTGAGGCTCTTTGCAACTCTCGTGTTTTGTTCTCATGACTTGAGAATCTGCTAACGTTCCAAGTCCTTCTGTTGCTTAGGTCAGGGAACCTTCTTTAGGTGCCTCTTCAGAATTCGTTCTTGTCTACTCTTCTTGAAATTTTAGGGTATCTCCGCATTTTAATATTTGTGTGTGTGTGTCCTCCTACCTCTTCCTCCCTACTTTCACTTACCCTGGTTTAGTGCCTTTTCCCTTAGTAACGTCATGGTAGCCTACAAATTACTGATTTGGAATACGCTCACATGCCTACAAAGGTATCTTGCAAGAGAGAAAAGTCTGAAATCACTAAAGAATAACAGCGTCCTTATGTGCCATCACTTTTTCAAGAGATCAGTGGGTGCTATGTATGGCATAGGTGAATAGTGACAGAAAATAAATTGATATTCTGTTGAGACTATATTTGTATGTTTATTTATAGAGCAGGCATTAAGTGCTATATTCTGCACGATATGGAAGTGAATAAAGCAAATGCGTTCCTTTCACGGTGTTACTGAGTTAGGGGGATTTGGACAATAAAACAATTTTAGATTATGTCACGTACTACTGTATAAAAGAAATAGAGTTCTTTTAAAATACAGTAAGATTGAGAAACTCATTTGAGGTCTAAAATGTTGAGATCTAATGAATGAGACCGACATTTGATAACAAGGGAAAGGGCTCCAGGTAGAAGAAGCCTGAGGTGGGAAAGAATCGTGTTGGTTGCAGGCACTCAAAGAATTTTACTAGAGCTGAGGAGCTACAGCAAGTGATCAGTGTGGTTAGAAAGAGAAGCAGTGGTCAGTCCCATAGGGCACCTTATAAAGCCAAGGTGAAAAAGACAGTTTGCTTCTGAGTGCAGAGGAAGTGGGAAGTCACTGATGTTTTTAAAGCATTTTCTAAATGATCCTTTGGTTTGATATGTAGAAAATGGTCTGTAGGGACCACGGAAAGAGAGGAAGCAGGGAGGGTAGATAAGGCGAGATGAGGGATGGAGACTGCTGTGGTTTGAGTATGTCCCCCAAAAGTTCACAAGTTGGAAACAATTCCAAATTCATATGTTGGTGGTATTTGTGACTAATAGACTGGCTAGGGGACATGAAAGAAACAAGATTGCAGTGTTTTTGGCTTAACAAATGTAAGTATGTTCATCATCTTGGTTTTGTGTGTGTGTGTGTGTGTGTGTGTGTGTGTGTGTGAGAGAGAGAGAGAGAGAACCTAACACATTTGAACACTTTCAATATGTGCGTTGTATTGCAGTTCACTTGTTAAAAGATTTCCCAAAGTTCTGGTTTAGCAAATAAATGAGAGTGGTATTATTTACTGAGATGGGAAAGACTAAGGTAGGAATGGGTTTAGGAGAAAGAGATCTGGAGAACTATTATGTATGTGTTAAAATTTAAATAACTATGTGACAGCTAAATAGTTTCAAAGAAGGTGGTTTATTATGTAAATGTGACTCTTACAGGCAATTCTTGGGGTGGAAGGATTAAGATTGTTAAGTAGGTGATACAGGTATAGTCGTGATGACCGTTGGTGATGGATGCTAGTGATGGATATGTGTGACAGAAATTTGTCCCATAAGATTTATGTCACCTGGTGATGTGGTAGATGTCTTAATTTGTGTAAGTACACTATGATGTTTGCACAATGACAAATCACCTAATGACATAGTTCTCATAATGTGTCCCTGATGTTAAGCTATGCATGGCTTTATTTAAAACATGGAAATAGATTTTGCCTAATTTAACAGATTATAGGGTGTGAATTAAGAGGACCTGGGAGAAGTGGAAATGGAGAAACCAGGCTCAAAGAAAGTAGGTGTTTAGTGTGGAGTATTCGTATTTACCTGGGCCATGATTAATTTTTTTTTTTTAAACCGGTACCAGGGGTCGAAACCATGAATAGTTTTTATAAATAATTTGTACTGTCAACTCGGTATTTAGTCTTTCTCAAATGAATCTGCCTGAAATTGACTTCTGTGTTCACGCAGATTCTCCTTTACTACCTGTCCTTTACACTCATTTTTCCCTGCTTGTGAAAAGAAATATCTTTTTTTTTTTTTTTTGTCTTTTTCGTTTTTATCGGTACCAGGGATCGAACTCACGACTGCCTGCTTGCAAGGCAGGTGCTTATGCTGCTGAGCTAAATTGCCAGCCCCTAAGATTTTAGAATTTCATTTTTTATCGGTACCGGGGATAGAACTCACGACCGCCTGCTTGCAAGGCAGGCGCTTATGCTGCTGAGCTAAATCCCCAGCCCCTGAAAAGAAATATCTTCTTACTCAATTTTCCATGATATGTTGCTCCTACCGTTCCTAATAAAGGAGCAGTTGGAAATACTTGTTTTAGGGAAACCTTATTTAAGGCTAATAGTTAATCAAAATGAAACCCTATTAAAGGGTTTGTCTTTCCTCTTTTAGAAACATTTCCGTTAAGGCTGACGTAAGGAAATAGGATTGCTGTGTGGTAGTCTGTGAGGGGATGTTTTAAGTTAAGATACAGTAGTTTCCCCTAGTGGGGGAAATAATTTCAGTACTCCTAGTGGATACCTGGATGGTATTGAACCCTATGTGAACCATAGCTTTTCTATATATACATACCTGTAATACTTTTTTTTTTTTTGAGACAGGGTTTTGCTATTCAGTTCAGGCTGACCTTGAACTTAAAACAATCCTTCTGCCTCAGCCTCTGGAATGCTAAGGTTACAGATGTGCACCACCACATCCAACTGTTTAATAAAATTTAATTGTAAATTAGGCACAGTAGCACAGTAAGAGATTAATAATAATAATAATAGTTAATTATAAAATAGGGCAATTGTAACAATGTATTGCAATAAAATTGCTAGCCTTACTATTCTTGTACAATGGGCCATTATTAAATAACATAAGGATTTCTTGAAGCTAGACACTGTTTATGGTTACAGTTGTTCTAACAAACCTGATGGCTGCTAAATGACTAATGGATAACGGTAACATATACAGCATGGGTACACTGGATAAAGGGATGATCGTGTTCTCAGCTGGATGGTGTAGAGTACAGATTTCATTGTGCTACATAGAGCAATATGGAGTTTAAAGCCTGTGGATTGTTTATTTTTGGTATCACCAATAAACACAACAGGGGAAGTTAGTATTTAACAGGGGTGGTACAATAGGAATAACATGGCTGCATATTCAATCAATGTCAATTATTTGACTGCCAATATGTAATTCTAGAAAACCTAAGAATTATTACTGTGTGGAAGCTCATATTTTTCAAAAGATGGCCCGTACACATAAAGCATTTAAAACCTTTGGTAGACTTAGACTATTAACTGCTTGATTTTTCTTTTTTTGTGTTGAGGATTGACAGAACTTTTATTTTTTATTATGAGACAAGGTCTTGCTAGGTCGATAAATTGCTGAGGCTGGGCTCAAATTTATGATTCTTCTGCCTCAGCTTCGTAGAGTTCTGGGATTAGAGGCATGAACTACCAGGCCTGGCCATTAACTACTCTTTTAATTGGTAGCTAAATAACGGGGGCAACAAGTGTTAAGGTTTGGGAATAAAACTCATGTTTTTACTATGGCATTTCCAGTAGTAGTTTTGAACAGCAACCATTTTGTAGCCAGCTGAAGCAATCAGAATTCATATACATATATATATGCAAGGGCTTTGTCTCTAGAGTGGTGACATTGGGACTTTCAAGGACCTAAGGTGAGCCAAGCTGACATTGTATTCTCTCTCCTTCAGATGTCATCACTGCCAAGAAGAGCAAAAGTACAGGTCCAGACTGCAGTGTCCAAAGAAGAATATTCTTACTTCTCTGAACTGTAAGTCTTTTTCACCATGTCTTTTTCATTCATACAAGTATTTGTTGCACTCATGCCGTGATCTGGGCTCTGATGTTAGTAATAAAGTGTTAAGTAAAGATGGGAGAAGTAATCAACTAAGTATATATCATATTTGTTCCAGAATGTAAGCTCCGGGGCTGGGGATTTAGCTCAGCGGCATAAGCGCCTGCCTTGCAAGCAGGCGGTTGTGAGTTCGATCCCCGGTACGGATAAAAATGAAAAAAGACAAAAAAAAAAAAAAAACCCCACAAAAAACCCCACAAAAAACAGAATGTAAGCTCCATGAGAAAGAGAGTTTTGTGTTTTTTTCTTCTTCTTTTTTGCTGCTTTAATGTAGTAGTGCTCAGTCTCTGAAGCATTAACATTGTGTGCAGGATACTTCTTTGTTGTGGAACTCTTTTGCCATGTAGGATGTTTAGTAGCATCCCTAAGTTGTATCTACTAGATGCCAGCAGTACCCTTTTTAGTTATGACAATCAAAATGTCTTTGGACTGTTGCAGATGAGTGTGAGGGAATTGTCCCCACTTGAGAATTTTTGGTGTAGAGGACTGTATTAGGTGCTCTTGAGGTATTTGTTAAATAAATGAATGATTAATATTAGGTCAAAATAAGTATTGTAAAGAAAAATGAAGCAGGGGACTGGTTAGGGAAGCACAGTGAGTAGTTGGCCAGGATGTGGTGGTGGATGGAGTAGTCAGGAAGTTCTTTGCAGGATGTGCCGAGATGTCTACATGAGACTTGGGAATTGCAGTGATTGAGATAAGTGTTCCTTAGCAGTCCAAATACAAGGGCTTTGTCTGGTGACACTGGGACTTTTAAGAAGTGAGGCCTAAGGTGAGATCCATAGGTCACTGGAGAGGAGACCTCCAAGGGGACCATGGGCCCTGGCTGTCTTTTTCTTTGTTATAGCCTTGCTTTGACTTGTGCTTCTGCCCTTGCTGTCTCTTATCCTCATCAGAGGCCCAAAAAAATGATGCTGCCTGATCTAAGACTTGAACCACCAAAACTGTAGTGAAACTGTGAAATAAACCTTTCCTCTTTATTAAATTAGTTGTCTCTGGTATTTCATTGTAGTAATGCCCAGCTGCAAACACAGAAATGCAGCTCTATGCAAAGATCTTGTGGACTAGTGTCCTGTCTTATAGAAAATACCCAAAACCCAAAGTTAAAGGAGGAAAGTTTTATTTAGCTTACAGTTTGTAGAGGTTTCTCTGTAATTGGTTGGCTCTAAGGCAGAGTGGCAAAGCAGACAGGCATTGCAGAGGATAAACAGTTCATGGAGGACAGAAGGAAACAAAGCAAGCAAGACAAAAGTAACAATTAGCAGTTTCTTTGTACCCCTTTTATATTGTGTCTAGACTTCTGGGCTTTATCAGTGGTTTACCTAGTAATCTCACACCCTTAATCCCATCAGGACACATTCTAGATCCAGCTACCTCTGAAAAAAACCCTACCTATGACCACATGAGGCTTTGGAGGGACATTTATTTATTTATTTAGTCTTTTTGACACAGGGTCTCATTATGCAGTTCAGGCTGGCCTTGAGCTCACTTTTAGCCCAGGCTGATCTCGAACTCGAAATGATCCTCAGGCCTCCAGAGTGCTAAGATTACAGGCATGAGCTACCACTGCCAGTGGAGGGACATTTAGATACAAATTGTAGCATGTTATAAAGTGCAAATGCAGAGAGCTTGAGGCAGGAAGAGTTTGATGTGGTGGGAACAGCAGGGAAACTGGTGTGGCCAGTTCAGAATTACCAAGGCAGTGGGGGATGGAAAATGAGACTGGAATGGGTAGGATCTGAGCAGCTGTGAGAAGGTGCTGTGGTTTTATTTGAAGTGGGTAGGGAAACCACTGGAGGATTGTGGACTGGGACGTGACTTCTTGGCAGAGAACAGATTCTGTGTGTGTGTATATAACAGAAATGGAGTCAGTTGTAGGTGAGGGAAATGATTGTAGAAGCCTAGGGTTTTTTTTTTTTTTTTTTTTTTTTTTGTGCCCCAGATCAAACTCATGACCTTGCACTTGCCAGGCAGGTGCTTATGGCAGTGAGCTAAATCCCCAGCCCTGAAGCCTAAGGTTCTACAAGTGAAAATGGTGAGAAATGGTCTAATTTTGAAGGTAGGACATGATAGCAATTGATTACATTTGGGATATGAAGGAAAGACTGGCATTGTGGAAAGACAGGAAGAAGAGAAGTACACGAGGACATGTGGTAGAATCAGGAATTCTCTTTTGGACTTGGTAAGTTTGAGGTGGTTGCCAGACCTCCATGTTAATGTGGATACAAAGTCTTGAGCTCAGGGGAAAAGTCAAAAAGGAGATAGAAAACTGCGTTTCCAGTATTGGAGCACAAGATAAAACAGATGAGCTACCAAAGAGCAGGAAGGACGGACTGAGGACTTTGCCTAGAGAGGCTGCAACATTTAGAGGTCAGAGGGACTGGGGAGTTAGCTCAGTGGCGTAGCACCTACCTGGCATGCTTAAGGTCCTGAGTTCAATTCCCAGTACAAAGGAAAAAAAAATCTCTGTTTGAAAAAGGGGGGCGGGTGGCTGGGGATTTAGCTCAGTGGCATAAGCTAAAAAATTTACAGGTCAGAGTCAAAAGGAAAACTTTGAGCCAGTAGGAGGGGAGTGGGTTTCCCAGAAGGCCAAAAAAAGTCAGGGCTGTGGTTTTCCCAAAGTAGCCGCTTGGGGGGGAACATCAGAGCTCACCTGTGATGGGGAGTAAAGGTGAGTGGCAGCCTCCAAACTGTTTTCTGTCTAACAAATGTTTCCAGCACTTGTGTTTTCTTCACAGTAAGGAAAGTTACTTTGGTAATATGCCCAAGTGACGTAGGTTAATCAGTGCCCCTGCTTGATAAGTGTTGAGACCAAGGTTTCGGAAAGAGGCCTTCCCCTTTGGTTTGGTAGGAGGGAACCCTGGATTTCTAATTCTGGCTTCTTTCTTGTGCACTGCTATTGTGTTCTTTTGTCATAGGCTTAGCATCTGTCTCTAAAGAGAGCTTACTTTGAGCAGATCAGTAGTTTGGCCCATAATTGTTATGGTTTCCTAGTTAAGACTCTTTTTTTGGTACCGGGGATTGAACTCATGACCATGCGCTTGCAAGGCAGGCAGTTAGGCCGCTGAGCTAAATCCCTGCCCTCCTAGTTAAGACTATTGAATCAGGTTTTTGCCTCTAGTAAAGCTTAAACTATTTACTAGCTGAACATCCCTATTCACTATTCTCCATGAAGGAAGCCGTCATCCTTCCCACCTATACTGACCTCACATTAGGGTAGAAATAGAATTAAATGGGTGGGCAGGAGCACAGTATTTCTTCAACACAGTTCACATGACTGCCTTTTCTCTGCTCTCCTGTGTGTGTGTGTGTGTATGTCTTCCTTTTCTTCCCTGAAACCCAGTCTCCCTATGTGGCCCAGTATGGAGGGCCATCTGAACAACTCTCCTTGAATAAAGAGTAGTTATCTTCATTTTGGCCAAACCTGGCCCTGCTTCCATGTGTTGATATGTACAGAGCTGGCTAGGATTTTTCCTTATCCCTTGGATTGGTTTTGGTGCTGATGCGTAGTCTTTGAAGCAAGGTGATAGTTCATGTTTCCCGGGTCCCTGTAGTTCCAGAGACCAAGTATGGGCCGGATGGAAGGAGAGCCGGGCTGCTTTTGCTGTTGGCTGAGATAAGCCTTGAGATAAGAGATTAAGAGATGACTTCGCAGGGCATGAAAGGTTACACATCAGAGCTGGAGCACTGAACCCAAAACATTAGATACTGCCTCAGTTGTGTTACACAGATTAATCTTTCTGCATATCCTTCTCTGCATATTGCAGAGGTGATTTCAGGCCTCCTACCTCCCAGCTCACTCACTGTACTTACGTATTTCCTGACATTCTCACACTCATTCTCAAGCCACTCCCTTCTTCAAGAATTAATCACATCCAGGTTCAAGCCTGGGTCAAGGCCTTTTTTTTGGCACTGGGGATTGAACTCATGACCTTGCGCTTGCCAGGCAGGCACTAAATCCCCAGCCCTCTGGGTCAAGGCCTTTTGTTCTGATGAACCTTTATGCTGGCTGGACTTGAGACCCCCATGGCTCCCCATAACTAGAAATAATGTCTTAGTGTCTTTATTCTTGCTGTGGGTCACACTGGAAGTGGCAGATTGGAATTAACTCACTAAAATTGTAATAACTTTTCTTTAAGATTACAAATACAAACTTCTGTGACTGTGATGAGGATGGGGAGGAGCTCTCTATAACACAGGCTGGCACTGAATTCAAAAGCTTCCTGCTTCAGCTTCCTGAGAACTGAGATTAGAGTCGTGTACCACTGGCTTTTTCCTCTGCTTTTACAGTGAATTCAATTCATAGTTAGGGAAATATTATAATTATACCTGATCTTATCCAATCAGGAGACAGATTCATTCTCTGAAAGGGAAAAAAGGGTTAATAAGAACAGTTGGCTTGTTGGTGTTGGATTTTTATGTAATTTGGAGTGTTTCCGAGAGTCAGTTTCTACTAATACCATTGATACAGTTTAAAATGATTTGATTAACACTTAGGCACTTACTTAAGAGCTCTTAACTGTTAAAATTGAGAACCTCAAACTGACTGGTGTGAGATGTTACAGTTGAATGGGTCGGTAAGAGTCCAGGTACTGCTGGGCGTAGTACTGCAATCCAAGCACTCGGGAGGCTGAGGCAGGAGGATCATTGCGAGTTTGAGGCCAACTTGGGCAACAAGTCAGCTTATGGCAGCCTGAACTGCCAGCGAGACCTTGTCTCAAAAAGTCAAAAAAGACAAAAAAAAAAAGGCCAGATGCTTGTGTACATGAGAAAAGAACTGCCAAGGGTACACCCAGAGGTAAGTAGAAAGGAGCACCATTTATATTGAAGATCACGGGAAAGGTCGCAGCAGCAACAGAAGAAAGGGAAAAGGGAGACCAGGGCCGATGACTCAGGCTTTCAGAATTTAGAGGCCGGACACGCTGGCATTAGGTGCCTCCTACTGTATCTCCCTTGTTCTCTGCCTAGGCACCTTGGGCATGGCATTTCTTAGCGTTTTGTTATTTCGTTTTGTATCTTTCTTAGCATGTGGAAGCGGGAATAACTGTAGGGTGGGGTTTGCAGGTAAATGGAGGGAAGAGAGTGGCTCTTGTTTCTACCCGTACTAATTTAACCCCGTAGGTTGCTGAAGGCCACGCATGCTTTCCTGTGTTATGAAAGAATGTGCAGCGTTTGCTGTCAGGTGGCAGAAAGCAGAGAGACTTGTAATTTACTGCGTATGGTTAGGGAGGATTTTTAGGTTGGTCTCTGACGAGAATTAAAACAGGTTGTTTTAATTCTTAGAAGAAACTGTTACCAGCTGGGCTTATATTGCTCCATTTTATCTTAAATACTTCGGACTTTATCGTTATTATTATTTTTTTTATTATTATTATTTAAGAAGCATGTGTCTTTTTTTTTTTTTTTTTTTTTTTTTTTTGACATTTGCTTTTATTTTTCCTGGAATTTCTTCTGTCAATTTCATGTTAGGTCATCTGCCTCTGAGGAAGATGACAAAGAAGATACTGTTTGGGAGCCTCAAAAGAAAGTTCCCAAAGCCCGGAAGCAGCCTGCTCCCAAGGAATCCAAACCAAAGAGGGTGCCTGGGGGGAAGAAGAACACAGCACTGACGAGTGGTGGCTCTGAGTGCATGGCTGTTAAAGAGGAGCTGGTAGGTGCTGTCCCTTGGTTGGGGGAGAGCTGAAGGGTTTTACCCAGGTGTTACTTCTTCCTTACAGAGGGGGACAAAACATGTAAATGACAAAAACCACACGGCAGTGGTGTCCCTTGTCTTAAGTCTGAATAATATTTACCACTAAATTCCATCTGCTTTCTGTTTCTGCTCCTTCCTCTACTCATCCTTAGCCAAGTCACATCCTTAACTTTTTTTTTTTTGAGATTGGGTTTCACTATGCAGTTCAGGCTGGCTTTGAACTGACTTTGTAACCCAGACTGGCCTTGAATTCTAGTGATCCTTCTGCCTCAGCCTCCCTACTGCTGGAATTATAGGTGCATGCTACCTTCCTGGCCTCAACATTTTTTAAGATATGATTTTACCAATGTGGCAAGTTCATGTGACTGTACAGATAAGAAAGTGGAGACAAGAGATGTGTAGTGACTTGCTTGAAATATACAGGCAGCAAGTGGTGGAACTAGAGTTTCCAAGTCAGCATTTTAGGAACCGTAGACCTCTCATGGGCATTTTATATCAGCCATGCTCACTAGAGTGATGTATGCAACCAGAGAGCTGGTTTAATTAATACTTTGAAATAATTATCACAAGCACTTGAAATTCTTATGGCCAAGCAGTTTTGCTCCTTGAAGGCTGAACTAAGTAGGAAGTTAAATGTGAATCAGAAATTTGCTTGATAAGCAGAGACTCAAAACCAGGGACTTAGATGTGTTCATTTGGGTGTATTGAAAGCCTGCTGTTGTGTAGATCCTGTGTTTGTCACAGTGGCAATAAATGTTTTAATGCCATGAAGCTAAGGTAATCTGAAGTATCTATCTCAGAGCAGGATTCTCTCTCTCTTTTTTTTTTTTTATGGGTACCAGGGATCGAACTCATAACCGCCTGCTTGCAAGGCAGGTGCTTATGCACTGAGCTAAATCTCCAGCCCCCTAGGGTTCTTTTACTATGGGGAATAAAAGACTCAGACAATATTTGCCGAGATTTTTTTTTTTTCTCTTTTGCACATTAGTTAGAAGAGGTGCTGATCATATTTGGTTTTTTCTTGTTACTATTTTTATGTTTCTCTGTGGCTGTCAACTGTCATTGACACATTCTTTCTTTAGTTGTGCCAATTCATTTAGTTATTATCAATTCTTACATTCTCAGTGTTATATTATTATCGCTGTTCCTGTTTTTTTTTTTATTTTTTTTATTTTAGGTACTGGGGATTGAACTCATGACTGTGCACTTGCAAGGCAGGAGCTTATGCCACTGAGCTAAATCCCCAGTCCTGTTTTTGTTTTTTTGACCCAGAGTCTTGCTGTATAGACTAGTTCAGTCTGGCCTTGAACTCACTTTGTATCCCAAACTGCCATTGTGTTTCAAGTAAAATATTTAATATTCAGAGGGTGTCTAGCTTACATTATTCTCATGCTCACATGGAAGTAGTGGTAGGCAGGCTTTAGAGTGAAAATGCTCTTATTATTCTCTCACTCTCTCTGTTTCTTTTTTTTTTTTTTTTTGAGATAGAGTCTCACTATGAAATTCATGCTCAGACTGGTCTTGAACTCACAAAGATCCTCCTGCCTCAGCCTCCTGAGTAATGGAATTACGGATGTGTGCCACCACTCCCAGCTCAGTTTTGTTTTTTTGAGACAAAGTCTAGCTATGAGGTTCAGATTGTCCTTGAACTCACTATGTAGCACAGGTTGGACTTGGACTTGGAAAGCTGCTCAGGAGTGCTGGAACTACAGGCATATGCCGTCATGCCCAACTCAGGGCAATTTTTTTTCTTGGTCTTTTTTGAGAACCACTATGTGGTTCAAGCTGGCCTTGAACTCACTTTGTTGCGGAGGCTGGCCTTGAACTTGCAGTGATCCTTCTGCCTCAGGCTCCTGAGTGCTGGGATTATAGGTGTGTGCCAGCATGCCTGGCCTTAACATTTTTTAAAATACGATTTTACCATTGTGGCAATCGATTTTTAATCTTCTAATTCCCATGTTTTTCTGTGATTTGATAGAATAGGTCTATAGCTATTGCTGATGTTGATTTGCAAGAGACTAAATTGGATACTGCACAGACTTTGAAGACAGCAAAAACAAAACGGAAAAATCCAGCTCAAAGGACAAAAAAGCTGAAAGTCCATGAAGAAACCATCACAGTGAACAACTTAGTGGATGGTGCAGAGATACCATCAACAAGTACCATGGGGGAAGGTGTCTGTAAGAAGGAGGAGAGTGAAGATGACTTCACATTTGGCCAATCTCCATTAAAGAGAATGAAGACGGAAACGTGTCCTCAGGGGCAGCCTGTCAAGTTTCCAGGAAGTGCCAACACAATTAAAGAGGAGGTAGAAATGAACTGGGACATAGTACAGGTATGTGCAGCCATTTTCTGTGTCTTTAGTTGATTTCTTTCTTTTTCAGTATTATTAGTTATACTGACTAAAGGGAAGGTTGGGAGTTTTCAGTCTCCATTTTTTTCCAGTGATTTCTTTAGGCTTTTGCCATGTGTTCTTTTCTTGGGTACACTGTTTTGTTTTATAGCTGATCATGGTACATTGTGGGCTAAGAGCTGTGGTCAAGGTGGGTTTTAGCACATTGTGCTAGTGCATTTTTTTGTTGCTGTAATAAATTTCTGAGATGATAAATTTAGGAGGAAAGGTTTGTTTGTTTGTTTATTTATTTATTTATTTATTTTTGTTACCGCTGATCAGATTCATGACCCAAGCTTGCCAGGCGCTTATGCCGCTGAGCTAGATCCCCGGCCTGGGGGAAAGATTTATTTTGGTTTAGGAGCTTAGAAGTCCATGATTAGTTGGCCCCATTGCTTCCAGAACTGTGACCAGGCAAAATATCATGATGGGAGGGCATAGTGGAGAAATGTACTTATGTCATGGTAGCCAGGAACCTAAAAAAGTAAGAAGAGAACTGGGGTCCCATTTTTTCTTTCTTTGGTGGGCCCCCAAGTGACCTGAGACCACCTACTTTTCCCCACATTATAAAGGTTCCATCACTTCCCAATAGGGCCACAAGCTGGCAAGTAAGTCTTTAACATATTGACCTTTAGAGACAGTCCAGACTAAACCATAGCACACACATAGACTGTGCAGACAGATTGTACCAACAGATTAGACCCTCAAAGGTTTATTAAATTTTTGCTTTGAACTTGGGCTGTGCTCCTTCATGAAAGCAGTGCAGGTGGTTAGTTTATTACTTGTTCATGCATCTCTTTAACCCTTAGTGTAGTATAACATACTGTGAACAAGGCCTTGGAATTTTTTAAACAAAAATTTTTTAAGGATTCCAGCTTAAGATGCCAGAATGGTATTTCTTGCTAGAGAAGACATTGAACTTCTATCCCTACCCCTCAATCCCTTGGTTTTTTCTGGGCTGGCTTTGGGGATGGTTGAAAGGACCAAAACAGTGACTCTAGGGTAGTGATTCTTAGCTTTTCGTCTGTCCCAACACATACTGGAACCATTTCACGGTAGATGGTGGTGACTTTCCCCGCTGTTGTCTGTCTTACAGTGATCGGATATATATTTCTCCCCTTGCTCTTGGTTGTTACTATAGATTCCACAGTCTCTGGTGAGGCATAATGCTACCCCTCAGTGTAGAGCTGGCTGTCACCATTTTTCTTTAGAGGAATGTGGTTTTACCAGTGTGCCTTTTTACTTGCAGAATGTCACCAATAATTTGTAATCATGATTTTTCTTCTCTCTGGCCCACTAGCAATAGAAAGGTGCCTCACAACTTTTCTGTCACTCTTATTTCCGTAGTAAATAGTCCAAAAACCTTGCAGAAATAGGTTCTTTCTATGCCTTCATTTTCTTTATTCATTTAGATCTATAACTCATTGTTTTCAAAGTGTGGGTTATGAATCAATTGTGCTAGATTTATGCTGCAGCTTTCTGGAAGTGTGTAGTCCTTGGTCCTGGACCAGACCTATAGTAGCAGGTGGATATGTCCCACTTTCCTCTTCTTGTTCTTTTTAGCACTTGTAAGCTCATTCCCATTATTTGCATATTCCACTTCTGGTGGTTGACAGTGTGCAAAAGGAAGGAAGGCAGGTTTCCAAGACTGTGCAGTCTCTGGTCTTTGAGACTTGATCATAAGTTATTCATATTTCAAGTTAGGAACCACTCACTCTGGGTCAGTTTGCTTCTCACTGTATCCTCTAAACTTTATTACAAAGCAAGAGGTGAAAATAACCTTTGTCAGTCTTTTTGCCTTAGGGTGTTATAATAGAGATTTATTTCTAGTGGGTGTAAACAGAAAAGTTTATTTCCAAAGATACACGGGTCTTTCAAAGAACAAATGGGACAGAATATGATTAAATATCCCAAAGGACATGAGCCAGAAATTAGAAAAACATGAGGACTTGGAAAATGTATTTTCAGTTCTGTTCCATGGAGCTTTGGGATCATCAGTTTTTGCTGTTTTTCTGTTTGTTATTATTTTCCTTTATTTTTTTTTTTTTTTGAAACAGGGTCTTGCTATGCAGTTCATTCTGGCTTTGAACTCACTTTGTAGCCCAGGCTGGCCTTGAATTTACAGTAATCCTCCCCCTCAGCCTTCTGAGTGCTGGGATTACAGGCATGCGCCACTATGCCTGGGTGAGTTGTTATTTTCTTTAGCAAACCATCTTTCTCTGCTTTTTTACAGAGCAGAGAAAATGACTCATTTCATTTGCCATTAGTTGTATTAGCTACATAGTCTGACATGCCAGTTCTTCATTCCAATTACAAATTTCAGGAAGATAATCTGATTGGCTGAATTTGGCTCAGGTATCCACCTCTCGTCTAATGCCCTGGATGCTGAGGACTCATTTTATTGCGGAGATATGTATCTATATTTGTTTATGTATGTGGAAAGGGGTCCCTAAGGAAAGGAGGGTGTTTATAGCTACCTGAAAATGTCTGCTTCAAGATCCAGCTTGACAGTGTATATTTATTAGGCTTTTTAAAAAAAGTTTTATTTTAAAGAGTATAAAATCAAGCAAAAAACCAGAATAAAGCCAATTTAAAAAAACCAGTATAAGTGACACAGGACTTCAAAACAATATAAAGTCAACAGTGGTTACCATAATACCTCTTGTTGTCTTCAAAATAGCTGCAGATACCTTCAGGCATAGTAAAAATCAAACAAAACAGGACAGAAGAGAACCAATAAAAACAAAACAATGCCATAAAGAACTTCAAAACAAGGCAATAGTAAATCCAAAATGACTATCATAGTATAACTTGCTATCTCTGAAATAGTTGCCTATGCCGTCAGATTTAAGAAAATCAAACAAATCAAAACAAAATAAGAAAACCAAACCCAATAAATCAATGAAAATGAGTCAGGACTTCAAAACAAGATAATAGGGAATTAACATTGGCTACAATCTTCAGAAGGAGATTCCTGATAAATGCTACACTGCGTGCCGTTATTCTTTGACTAGATACTTAGACCACTGGCTCTAGACCTGCAAAGTCAGTGAAACACCAAGCACCACAGGGATCCAGTTGCATTTTGCCTCGTTAGCTGTGATCGAAGCCTGTGTTTCTCTGGATCAGCTGGTCACTTATGGGGAAGCGAGGGCTGGCTCTTCTTGTTTCCCAGCTTGTGTGGGCCTGGGGTCTGGCTGTCCCCTCAGTGGCCAGTGCATGGTGCTGATTCACAGGGAGGGCTTGCTTTTGGTGCCCCCCCCCGCCCCCGCGCGCGCAGTCTGTGAGTGGCGCTGACATGGGGAAAGGCTGCAGTCTGGCTGTTTCCCCAGGGACCCATGTGTGGTGCTGTGCTGATTTGCAGGGAGGGCTTGCTTTTTAGTGACTTCTTGTTCTCTTTACCTGCAGTTCATGAATGGTGATGATTAGGCTCTTAATAAAGATTTAGATAGGTTTTTTTCTGCTTACAAATTTTTAAATGATAAAACATAATTTATCATGGGCTAGGTTCTATATCGGGCACTTAATTACTACATTCTCTTTTTAAAAACATTTATTTATTTATTTATTTATTTATGGAGACAGGATCTCACTTTTAGTTCAGGCTGGTCGTGAACTCACTCTACAGCCCAGGTTGCCCTTGAACTTGAAGTGATCCTCCTGCCTCAGTCTCCTGAGTACTGAGACTGCAAGCATGTGCCACCATGCTATGTTCTTTTTTTATTCATTATTAGTAGATTATTAGAAATAATGGATAATCTAAAAATCAAATGTAGCTAGAATTAGAATAGACAGAAAACATTGTCATTTGTACAGTAGGGGTGAAGAGACCATGTTAAAGTTAAAAAGTACTAAAAAACAAAGTTAAAAAGTGCTGAGATCCACAGTGCTGAGCATTTGTGGAACTTAGTTTCTGTAAATTGTATCCTTTCTTTAATAGGTATAATTAAAGTTGATTTCAGATTTTGAGAGGAGAAAGTATGTTCAGACATTTGTTAACTTACACTTTTTATTTTTTAATAGTCATTACCAGGGTTTACCAGTGAGTTCGGTAATGTCAGTAAAATAGCAGCTAAATAAAGCCTTTTGGAAAATGCATTCTAAGAGGAGGTAAACTTACTTGCTGAGTAGGATGAGGAGGGCAAAATGTGGTGAGAGCTAAGTGCCTGGCTGCCAGAGAGTGAGGGCTAAAGACAAGCAGGGAGCAAACTTCATTTTAAAGCCGTGGCAGCACTGTCCATGCTGTGCTATGGGAACATCAAGTGGAAGCAAGTTACTTCATGTTAAGGTGCCCAAAAATATAAATAGCCTTTAGCCAATTATTACTAACTTGGAAAATGTAGGTATACTAGTCTTTCCTTTCAATTACAAGTAGTATTTTCCTGATTAGAAGGTATTTTTGACAGCTGGAGCCTGCTGGGTGTCTGGGTGCTTCTTGTCTGTGCTTTGGGAAGAGTGGTGGTTATAGTTACCACTTTTGCTGAGCAGTGTGGTGGAACTGTTAAGCCAGCATTTTCCAGGTAAGTTTAGGGACACTGCCTGGGAAAGTGTTAAATATGAATTTATGTATTTGGGTTCTTTGCATTTAAATGTGGTCATCTTTCTGTAATCTAAGTTTATAAAAAATTCTTGTGGTACATGTGAATTTCCTTCCCTGTACTTTTTTTTTTTTTTTTTTTTTTGAGACAGGGTCTTGCTTTGTAGCTCAGGCTAGTGTTGAACTCGTGGTGCTTCTTGTGCCACAGTTTTCTGAAAACAAGGATTACAGGTATGCATTAAGCCTAGCTAATACTTTTACATTTCCTATAAAGAAGGGACACTTTGTAAGAGAGAAAATAATTTTGTTTAAAATAATATTCTTGCTTTCAAACATGGTTCCAAACAGTGCCAGATGTTGAAAGAACACATTGTGGGAAAAAAAGTCAGTAATACCAACTTAGAAT